GAAATAAATATTATCTTTTATTATTATTTTAACGTTTTTTTTTGTTTCTTTATATCACGATACATAAAATGTTTTGCATCCAGTGAAAGCGACTAATTATTTCTGGTGTGAACACTCCCAGATACAAAAATAATTAAGCATAATAAAAGAACAGTTAATTTTATTACATTTTGCGGATGGTGCAATAGATGGCGACTCGAGTTCGAATTCAAATCGAGTTTGTTTCATTCACTTACGTGCAAATAGCTTTGGAAATGGTATAAATCCATCTCTTCTCCCACAGCAAAGGGCAAATCTGGCTCTCTTGCCGTGAAGAAGGAGAACAATAACACTGGATAGATCTGAAACCAAATCACGGGTAGCACCCAGAAACAGCATTTGCCAGGGTTATGGTAAAGAGATTGGTAGTAGGGTGTTAGATGTGGTCAATGACAGAATTTAACAAAGCAGACTGTTGGCAATGAATTGCAATATCGTCCTTCATGTTAGATATTGGATAATACCTAATTATTCCGTGTCAATTTCGGGAACGCATAGAGTGGTACCTTGTGCTTCCTAATATATGCGTAACAGAAACCTTATTATTACACATGTAAAACATTACTAGGAAGACGTGGGTTGATACTTTGGGATGTCTAGACAAACGACATCGTCAATCGCGTTGAAGCTTTATTAGATTAACCATACAAAGACCAATTTGGTTTAGTTTGGTTTAGTTTATTTTGTTTAACGGCATATCAACCTCAATGGGTTATTTAATGCCGACAAAATTTTTTATTGCTGGTAATATTTTGTTTTGTCAAAAATCTGTTTCTGGTAATATATTTCCTTCAAAATTGTATTGCTGGTAATAATCTTTTTCAAAAAAAGTATTGCTGGTAATAGATAATTGTCCATAGCTGGGACTCTAACAGGTGCAACCACCCCGGGTCAGGGTGGACCTGGGAACACCAGCAATTAAGAGATGGTTCAACGCTCCTCAAAACTTCCTGATCAGAGACCTTGCTGGTGGACGTAGTTTAACGTCTTACTAAGGACGCGGATGTAGTTTAACGTCTTACCCAGGACGGACAAAGACCAGTAACCAATCCAACAGTATTGAAAGATTATTCAAGCCATCATGATTGAGAATGTAGTTTAAATTATAATTATCCTTTATATTCTTTATTATATTCCCTTTCAGAATATTTCAAACAACTAAGATCAGATGAAATTGCAGTTGCGATCAAGTGAAAAAACTAACTCGATTCAAAATTTTAGTACACGCTTTCAAAATGAAACTGACAGAACAGTGATCTTTTCTCTAGAATCCGAGTGTCTAATCAGTATTTGAATATTTCCCTAAAAACCCGTTAAAACGGAATGTAAAACACCATCTTTTAATGTTAGCGCAAACTTAGGTATACACTATAGAACAAAAGTTTGAGAGAACCCTCTTCATTTCCAATAATCGCTTAAAAATTCAAAACAATTCACTAGCTCACTTCTTGAAAGAAGGCCTTTTCTTTCCTGAAGGGTTATAAAATATATTCACTACTACTACTAGTAATAATAATAATAATAACGAAATTAACTCATTACTGCTTAAAGTTTACTTAGCATTTTAGCTCTTTTTACGTAATGGTATTCTTACGTAATGGTATTGATAATGGTATTCTTACGTAATGGTATTGATAATGGTATTCTTATTGATAATGATATTCGTACTACAGGCGAATTTTAAAATTTAGGTACCCCTCTTTAAAAATTGGAATACATGCACCTAATAGGTTAAAAAAGTTTCAGCATCATAGCTAAGAAGGAGTTAAACCAAAGAAGTCTTACTAATTAAAGAAACTTACTAATTATTAACTCCATCTTTGGTTTATTCTGTACAAGGTGAACATAAATGAACGCAAGTTTTAAAACCGTTATAATGCAAATTAAGCAACTGTGAAAACAACAACATATATTTTGAAACTAATTTTCAATTGTTCCTCTATCCATCACTTTAGGTGAGCTCTCAGCTTCAAAGGAATGTTTCCCATTTGAACGAATATCATGCAGTGGCTTTGTAGCTCCAAACGTTTCTTTCAGATGAGTAATTATTGATAGATCAAAAGGATCCTATTTTAAATTGTCCCTTTTTTATAAACTTTCATCGTTGCTGGTTCACTCTCATGACAGTGCATCAGCAACGACGAAAGCTGCCAGTATATATGCACTGTTTGGGCACCTCGAGGTGGTGTAATGGTTAGCAAGCTTGTCTCGCTAAAACAATTACGACTGAGTAGTGAGTTCGATCCTCACTAGGTGCCCCATACTTTCGGCCTTGTGCCACATCCAAGCCACGCTTGGAAAATCACTATATGCACTGTTGATTTCTTCGTTCACTCTATCTCTATAAACGTTCCGACTCTTTTCCCATAAGTATCGCAAAGTTTATACAATATCTATATCTATATCTATCTATCTCTATATATATATATACACACACACACACACATATATATAAATCAAGTATGTGGTGCAGTTCAATTTACATTACATGAATCATTCATACAAAAAACAGATATAGAAGTTAATGATTTAAATGGCGAGAATACATCTTTGCAAACAAATTTAATAAAGTACATTAACCCCGAACCTGTATATGAATGTTATAATTCCTGTTTATAAATTCCAGTTGCATAAGGTCGTTTTTTAGTTTTTTACAAGCTTTCGTCTGTTCATACAGACATCATCAGGTATGGAAATAGATTTGTTTTTGTTTTTTACTTCTCGTTAATAACAGGACAACGAAAATATAAATGTAATCCGAAAAAATGTTTTTAGAAATGTGTTATTGTTAATTTTAAAAATTTTTTTGGAGCGTGCAGTCTGCAACGCTGTGGTTGAAAAAAATTTTAAGATTGTGCGTTTTTGTACTAATATGGTAATAGGAGAATTCTTTTTACTGTCAATGTGGCATGAACTAAATTGTTCAATAAATACAGGAATTACAGATTATTATCGAAAGTTGATGCCACATTGAAAAAACCTAAGAACAAAATTTATTCTCCTATTACCATATTAGTACAAAACGCACAATCTTAAAATTTAAAAAAACCTAAATAAGACCTTATGCAACTGGAATTTCTTAAACAATTACATCTATATATTACCATATTTATTAGAAATTTAAAAACGAAGAATTCTCGCCATTTAAATCATTAACTTTATATCTGTTTTTTTTAAAGGATTCATGTAATATATATATATATATTAACAAAAGAAAGAACAGTAAGATATATAATCCGGTGTTCTTATTGATATTTTTATTTTTACCAAACAGTGCTCAATGTAAATTTACAGAGCATAAATATTATAAATTAACTGAGTTAAAATATGGTTTCTTCGCTACACAGGAATTACTATGTTTCAAAAACCGAAGCTAAAAACTTCAAATTTAATTATATAATTAAATTAAAAGTATTAGTTCGGTTTCATCTTCAAGCGAATTTTGGAATAACTTATTTTTAAATTTACTGAGTTTTAAACGCACATACAATTCATAATTTTTTGTTTCCAAGGATACAGAGAAATTCAGTTATTTAGACAGGGGCTGTAGCGTGTTCATTTTTATTAACTATTATTGTATCAATTATGACTTACGTTCGAAAAAGAGGCTAAGTTTAGGTAGGCTAGGGGTGCATTTTCAACGAATTTTGACATCCGTTCAACGCATGTTGTCTGTTTTTTTTATCAACGAGAAAAAGTTTTTCGGCATTTCTTCCCGTTAAATTCGTACTTGTATAGATAAAGATTCTTTCTAAAAGGGGTGTTTGGTCAGAATACGTTACATTGAACTACAATTTTAAAATATTATTTTTACTTTTAATTACTAATAGACTATATTTCTTTTTAAAGCAAATAAATATAATAAAATTACTTAAATTATTTAAAAATTATTATTACATATCAAATATAAGTATGTATATTACCAGCTCCCATTTTTCATTATGTTTTTATTTATTTTATTATATTTAAATATTATTTAAGGAAAATTTTTGACAATGTCGGCAAAGAATTTCATTTCTTTGATTTCGTAAATTTTTATTTTTTATAAACTTAGTAATATATAGTTTCTCATGTATGCACAAAGGACATGGGTCATTTAATGACCTACATATTTTAGCTTTTCTTATTAATTTTCATTTTACTGTAGGTGCTTTATTGGTTATCAAAGAAATATCTCCCACTTGAAGGAACGTCATGTCGTGCCTTTATGCTTTCAAACTTTTATTTCAGATGAGTAATTGTTGATAGATGGGAAAAGATCCTATTTTAAACAGTCCCCTTTTTTTTATAAACTGTCATCGATTGGTGTGTATTCTCATTAATTATGCGAGTGCAGCACCAATGAAGGAACTATTGAAAATCTGTTGTAATGTCCTTAATTCTATTCCGTAACCATTTGTTTCAAAATATACATTGTTGTTTTCACAATGGCTTACTTTGCTTATAATGGTCTTAAAACTTGCGTCCATTCATTTTCACCCTGCAAACTTACATCTATACACCGAGGCGATACTAAGATAAAGAAAAATCCAACTACGATTTACTAATGGTAGATACAATTTTAACAACATAAGGATCACGGCAAATATATGATGATATTCCTTTGTGATAATGACTTAGCTAATGTCACGTTCGGCTGTTTTCAACGCATTAAAATCACGTACAACCTGATTTTGTTTCAGTTACGCTGGAGATTTGGACATCTTGGCTCGGTTTGTTAACGTGAAAAAAATCCTCATATGACTTGTTCCTGGTACAGCCAATAATTAAATAATGAAAACTGATTTAAAAGTATGTTTTGTTTTGAAGTCTCAACAGTAATTCGTGTAGAGATGGTGGTGAATATTACAGACACGAGGCAAAAGTAAAAATGAACTCACTGGATTTTTTCGATCAACTTGGGTAGAAAAGACGTCCTTTTAAAGTTGTTTAAATAAGCATTCAATGAAGATCCATGGAATATGGGCGACAGGAATATTTATTCTACATTAAACGATCATTATAACACTATCTATCTATCTATCTATCTATCTATCTATCTATCTATCTATCTATCTCAGTCGCCATTACAAAATTACATTTCCAACCGAAACTGTCCTCATATCTACTTTTGGTCTTTTATCAAACGTCGATCAATGGGTGCAGTTTTACAGCAGAGAGGAATTCAATGAGACACTACTGTTTCTTACTCATTTTCATGTCAGACACCATTCAGCCTTTATCCATAACAAATTCAAGGAAATGCAGCTATGCACAAGCGGTCCAGACCAAGGTTGAAAGGAATCAAATTGGATCCCGGAAGTTCTAGGAGACCAGCCAAATTCTGATTTGGTTTGGTTTGTTTTACGGTATATCAACCTCAATGGGTCATTTAATGCCGACAAGATTTTTATTGCTGGTAATATTTTTGTTAAAAAATGTATTGCTGTTAATATTTTTTTCTTCAAAAATTAATTGCTGGTAATAATGTTTTACAAAAATGTATTGCTGGTATTAAAACCTATTTTTACACTTTCATATTGTTTTGACCACAGTCTACTGGTGTACAATTTGCACATATATGGGGCCCTAACATACCGAGCCAGGGTGAACATGGGAACACCAGCAACTAAGTGGTGGTTCTACGCTCCTCAAAACATCCTGATCAGAGGCCTTGCTGTTGGATGTAGATTTTATAGTCTTACCCAGGACGCAGATGTAGTTTATCGTCATACCCAGGAGTCCCAAATTCTGAATAGAGACAAAGAGCCAGTACCTATTATTATGAATGGCTCCGAAGTAATTTCATCCTCGATCTTTGCCTATAACTCAACGTTAGATGACAAAAGCCATAATCTTCCCGACTTCCCACGTTTCTCTCATCACAATCCCAGTATTATTTTTATACGGGTGTCTCAAGACTTATCAAAATCTTGACCATTGGAAGGCCGCTGGTGCAGACAAAATCCCACTGATGGTTCTTAGGAATATTAACCCGGCGTTATCCACGATTGGTGCAATTATTTAACCGCTGCTTCTGGGAGAAATCTTTCCTACGTCTGTGGAATTTCTCAAGTGCATGATCTGTTTGTAAATTGAGAGTCAGTACTCGCACCTCTATCAGTAAATACACATCAATCTCCTCGGTAATATTAAAAAAACTTTTTGAAGCTCCAATCGACAAGAAAGTTGTTGTTCACCTAGGAAAAAACCTCTTGAGCAACAACAGGTACGGGTTTCTATCGGCCCGAACCGCTGCTGATATCCTAACTGTTACTGCACGCAGAATTAGTGAGGTACTTGACAACAAATGCATCAAGGATGATCGCATTAGATATTTCAAATACCCCTGACAAGACGTGACATATATGATCACTGCCCATGTAATCACTGGAAGAGTTTTTTCAGTTATAAAGTCGTTCATAACGGGTAGGTCCCTGAAGGTAGTTCTTAACGGTCAGTCCTCAGAGGCCCTAGTGATCAGGGTTGCTTCTCGATCCAACACTTTTTACACTTTATATGAATAATCTGCTTAATAATATACTTTAATCATTTGCGAATATCGATGCAGATGGTACAACGGTATATGGGTGCACCTCCAAAACTCGAGATGACAAGAGACTGGCAGCTGATCTCTCCTCTGATCTAGCTTTAACAGCTCAGTGGTAAAAAAAACAAAACAAAACAAAACAAAAAAACAAAAACAAAAAAACTGGCAGGTTAAATTCAGTGCTTCGAAAATCACCAATCGCGATGAACGGATGTTCCCTCAGGGTGACCCCATTCCTTTAGCTTATACCTAATTTATATATATATAAGAAAGACAGAGACAAAGACAATAGCACGTTATCCTCTATCAATGAAAACATTTGCAAATTTGCTAAAAAAAAACCCAAACTAGTGACATTCCATCATCGCCGATCGGACCAAGAACTTTCACTAATCACGATGAATAGATGTTCACTCAGGGCGACCATATGCCTTAAGTGCCTTTGGGGCCTCACTCAAGCCAGGATACAAGTGGAAATCGTACATACAATCCATGCGTAAACAGGTTGGAAAAATGGTCCGTTTCCTGTACCGCTCCAGACAGTACCTGGCTCCACCTTTACCTTTACAAGAACCAGATCAAGCTGAAAATAGTGCACTACTGTCATATATGGATAAGAGCTACCTAGTTTAAAATTTCCAGTCTCGATAGAGTTGAAAAGCGTCCCCACGTCGTTGTGAGTGACAAATTATTTTACACCCTAGAACCCCCTTCTCACCTAAGAAACGTCGCAAGCCATTCTCTGCTCTGTCGCTAGTTCCATGGTGTATTCATTCTACGACCCACCAACATTGTAGCGAACGATCCTTATTCCTTTTGTATTCCATTTGTGAGATGTAAGTACCACTCCAGAAGTTTCTTCCTATGAACCGCTACTTTGTGGAATCGACTCCCAAGATTATGCTTCCGTGATCACTACAATCTTAACCTGTTCATGTCTAGTGTTAATTGTTTTCTTTCTTACATATCCATAAGTTCGAGTGGTTCTCGGGCCTTGTACATAATTTTTAAAAAAGTAACAAGGCCAATACATATATATATATATATATATATATAATAGGGTGTAATAGCACAATTGTCCAAACCGTATGACTGCAAAATTATCCAATTGATAGATTAAGCTCTGAACCCGTTGTATCTTAGGAATGATTAAATATATCTTATTGGAATTCTCCGAGTTTTTTTTATAACACTATTGAACTCTACTTTGAGCAATAAGAATGTATAATTACTCTCCAAGCTTAACACAAGAATCGTGATGAAATCGATCATAAATGAAAATGATATGTTCATCATTAATCATAGCTAAGGATTAGAAGCTCATGAAGGATTGAAATAAAGTTCAAATATATAAATATTATTACAGGATCATTTTCCAACTTATTCAAGATGATCTTCGTCCTTTCTAACCTTTTAACTTTTTGTCCTGGAGTAACAACGTGCCTCATAGGTTTCACGTACGATTTCATTTTCAAGTCTTTTTTCACTGCTCTTTAGACTGTCATAGCTGAAACTACTCTCTCACGTGCCAAACATCTTATGGATTGAGTTGGATGTTTCGTAAATTGATCACTTTAGCTCTAAGTTGAATTGATGATCCCTCTTCCTGTTGTGACCTCCTAATCCAGTTTTTCTCTCAATTGTTCCCTCTTTTTTAAACTTATTCACCATTCTCTTGATGGTTTTTGAATGGACTTTGAAGATGGAAGCCAGACTATGAATGTTGGTACCATTACTGAAGGCTTGATTGATTGCTTTCCACTCACCGTTGCTCAGTTGTAAAGACAGTACGACGCAAAAAAATTAACCTGCTTTCTTTTTAGCTGAATAACTCAAAGAGATTTTCAGCGATTCTTATGAAATATGCTGTCAAGATGGCTAAACGTCTTATCTGAAAACACGGAAAAAATAAACTCAATTGGTTTTGTATTTTTTAGATATTAAACATTTCCTGGAATAGATAATTATGCGATTACACGATTTTGACAATTTTTCTGTTACACCCTGTATATATATGATTGCATGTGTAAGGGTGGGGGCTATTGATAGCCTTGACGTCGTGGGGTAGCATGATAAAAGAGTAACCATTGGTTTCGAATGCGACACTTCTTTCTATCTATCTATCTATCTATCTATCTATCTATCTATCTCAAATTCTTCATTTCTATCTATCGATCTATATATCTGAATCTGTTTCTTCCTATCTATCTATCTATCTATCTATCTATCTATCTATCTATCGTACGACATATATTCCTCTTACATAGCAGCTTGTTTGAAAACTATCGAGCCATTTTGAACAGATTATTTCTTGTGGGTTTCTCGGTTGCCATTGAGACGCCATTAAGTGATTTTGTGTACGTTGTGGCTATCAAATTCCCACTGATGCAGGCTTTTTTTGGTGGAGGGGGGTACAAAATGATATCTTTTAGATCTGTAAGCATACAATTTGATTTCATGATTTTTATCAATTTCCATGAAAAATCATCATATCCTATATCTAAATTAAAATGATCACATTTCAGTTTGTGCGTGAGTCTATTTGTAACACATCCAGATTTCTGCCTTTCCAAAAATTAAAATCGCTATTGAAAGGGAAGCGATTTAAGATCGTTGATGAGATTAAGGGGAACGTTAAACAGTCAGTAAGGAACCGTATAGACAGTTTTAACAAATTGGAATAGTCGGTGGTATGTGTTAGTTCACAAGGGAATATCTTGAAGGGGATTAAGGATCCATTTCCCTGGGTAGGATAGTTTTTTCCTTTATATTATATGGTTGGATCCATTATGGATAAACATCGTATTATGACAACGAATTATTATCTCGTGCCATAAAAAATAAAACGTGACACTGTCACCGTGTAAAACTTAAAAATAGGCGTACAATGCAATTGGAAACATATTACAAGACTCTATTTCAATTAAACTTTGAGCCCTATTTGAAAGAGTGTGCACACCCAAGTTCAGCTTTTGAAAAGTAATCATGCACAGGTAAATATTGGTGATTAGAAAAAATATCTGGATTTGACGTACTAGTATGTAATATATACCAATATTCGTATACTTGTAAAACCTGCGAAAAACAAAGTCTACGTGTAGGTAAAGACCTGAGCCTATAAGCATCATAAAAGTTTTTGATAAATTTGTGTACGTGCAAAATGTGCAGTGTATTATGACAGGTCTACTTATAATTGCACTTTTACAACTCACCTAGCAGGAGAATTATATGCAAGTGTTTACAAAGGCAGTGAAAATAAATAGGTTACCTTTGTATTAGTTCAACCTTGTTGGTAACTACCTCCGATTACATAATCCACCAACCACTTTACTATCGCAGTATGAAGGGATGTTTTTTTACACACAAGAATGAAAGAAAATCGGGAATAACCTCAGGTTTTTAAGATCACTTAGAATTTGTGACTCCAAATATTTACTGGAAGGAAAAAAAGAGTTAAAATTATATAAAAATATAGAGACGAGAATAATGTCTGTTATATGCGGCATACGAGATAGTACGAGCTTCGTTACGAGATTTGAAAGTCAGCCATTGACAACTTTAATATGGTGACTAAGTCAGTAGCGACAATGATTAATGGATTCGATAATTCTGTACGTTGCGTACAACAGCTGAGTGTAGCTCGAAAGTGTTTTAGTATCAGATACATAGAATACTGAAAACAGGAAAATACACATATAATTCAGTTACAAGTCATTAAACTAGAAAAAATAATTTATGCAAATTTTTAATATAAATCGCTTTAAAGTCTTATAAATGCAGTCCTTAAGGTCAATATCAACTCACTTCCTATTTATAGAATGAATAGGATTTGTAAATAAATAAGGTTGAACTACTCTGTAATTAGTTAAACTTTAGCCAAAATTTAAACTTGTCTCATCTTGTACTACAATTCCCTAATCAACAGGAGTTTAGTGTGAAACTATTTTTAATGTATATATTTACAATGTTTACAATAATTATTTGTTTTGTTTTCTTTTTACTAAAGTAAATCAAATATTTATTATGTATTTAATGGTGGCGTTATTTAATTGGGTGACAGTAATATAATAAAAAAAAATCATCGGACAGTATAAAAAAAGTTGTTCTTATCAGTTAATTCTGTGTCTGGATTACTAATTTATCACTTGACATCTTGATGTGTTAAGCAACAGAATAAAATATATGAAAGAGGAAAAAAAACGGAGAAATAAAATAAAGTGAAACAATACACCTGAAATAACGATGATTTTATTTCTTTTTTTTCCTCTTTCAATATTGCAAGGAAAAGTAAAGGAAAACAAGAAGAAAAGACTAACTGTAACAAGACAGAATTCAAGGTTGTCAGCAGAAGAGATAGAACAAAGTGTGAACAGCGTATATTCTTTTTCTTTTATATTCCATATACCTTCAAAACATAGCTCTATTCAACATCCAATAATTTGTAGCTCTAACCAATGTTTGTCCCCTTATCATTATCCCCAGGCCCTGTTCTACGATGTATTTAGACAAGATCATTAGGTATGTTACTCCTTGTTTTCCTTTGTCTCTCAACATGTCCTGTAAGTGTTATATTCTCCAAGCTCTCTTTGTTCATTGTGTGTCCCTCAAATTTCAACTGTCTCTGATTCTGAGTAAAAGTGTTCTCTTTGTTTCCATTTTCCTGATTTCAGGCCGAAATGTTGGACATTTATTTTTGGTCAGAACGTCTGTCAAGCTAACTGTCGGTCTACAATTTTCCACAGACATGAAGTGGAAAGATTAGATTGAATCGTTTGATAGATCTGCTGCTAGGAAAGTTGGTTCACTGTGTTAGATTAAAAATCTTTTGTCGCCTAAATCTGTTTTGCATATTTATAAGTCTACCATTCGTCTACGCATTGAATATTGCTGTCACATCTGGTCTAGTGCTATGTATTTAGAGATTCTTGATCAAATACAAAGAGCCGCCAATGTTAGGGGTCCTGACCTGGCCTCTCGGCTTCCGCCACTTTCCCACTGTCGTAACATAGCTTCCTTGTGACTTTTCCATAAATATTTTCATGGTTATAGCTCTGATGAGCTTTCCACTTTCGTACATAGACTTTATGAATTTAAGCGTATTACTAGATTGGTGGAAAGGTCTCGTCATCTTATAATTGAAATTGCAAGATGTAACCGTAAGTTCTATGTTAACGCTTTCTTCTCTTGTACTTATTGCTTATGAAACTCACTTCCGACTTTTTACTTTAGTCAACTTGGATCTTCAAAAATTCAAATGCAATATCAATCGTTATTTTCTGTTTTCTTAAATCATGTTCTTTTATTGATCTCTCTCGTTAATAGTGTTTTTTTCGTTTTCTCATATTCTCAGACTTTCTAACCATTTGTGTCATTGTGTCTTTATTGGCTTGCTTGGGGTGAAATGATTAAAAAAAAAGCACCAAGTAAGCGAGAAAAAGTAAACAAATAAAAATATATTTAAAAACTACATGGTTATTTTGACACTACTCGACGATTAAAAGTCTCGTTGGAAAGTGTAATTGAATAAGGCTAAAAAATAGTAATTTACCCCCCCCCTTCTACCAACAACAATAGCAATCAACACGCAAACCTAATCACATACACATAAACGTTTGTATTCGTGCAAATATACAATCTTGGTGCTTACTGCTACTACTGATACTACTCGGCGGCGTATATTACAGCACAAAATTAAATGATAAGCATTACCTTAATATTACCGTAATAGTACTTACAAAATAGTACTTACAAAATAGTACACTATTTACATTATTCGGACTATTGTCCTCATCTTTGTTGCCATATTTATTACAACGTTTCGGCTGTTGTACGCTCCGGCCTTCTTCAGGTAGTTGGAATGTCGAACTAAACCCTTTATTTCGCTCACTAGGGCGGGGGGTATAATACCCAGAGATTCATACACAGATGTCCTCAAGGACACATGGCACAGCGGATAAAGGCTTTGGTTAGATCCAGTGATAGGACCCAAAGAGTGTGAGTGTGACAAACAAGCGGATAGCTACTTGTTCCATATACTGTGCCTCTTCAGGTTGTTGCCAATCATGGCTCTCTTTCTGTTTTTTATTGCTCTAGTCAATGATTAGTATTTACTTAATAATTACAGTTAATGGCTTTTATAGTAATGGATCAAAATTAATAGGAGTAGATGTTTTCACCTATCATCCGGTTAACACCCCTCTCTGATCTTTTGAGCCGTAGTAGAGGCTTACTCTTCGTTTCCAGTATAAGTTTGGGTTTCCAATTCTTTCTTAAGTTTTAAAAATTTTCTTTCACTCCCAGTAGCCTCTTGCATCTTAGTGACATTATCGCCTTGCTTGGAGTGAATTGATTAAAAAATCCTTAATATTTCACACGATTCTTTCCTTAGATTATCTTTGAGTAAAATACAAGATAAGGAAACAAATGAATGAATTCCATATACTGTATCTTGTATAGCGATTTTCCAAGCTTAGATGTGGCACAAGGCCGAAAGTAGGGGATACCCAGTGAGGATCGAACTCACTACTCAGTCGTAATTGTTCTAGCAAGACAAGCTTGCTTAACCATTACACCGCCTCGAGGTGCCCAACTGTATCTTGTATATACTGAACCTAGCTTAGTGCATGATTAATCAGTTTAGGATTTTGACCAGTAAGTTATGAACAAAAATGAGTATTCAAGTTGCTTAAATATTTTCTGTATGCTTGGAAGCGCTGATGGTGCAATGAATATAGGCATGGAAAATGAATTAGGCAAGTTCAATTCTCGCTCTGTTTCGTTCACTTTGCGCTAATGCCTTTGGAAAAGCCATCAATACAACCTGCTCCAGCCATGGGCTAAATAATAGAGTACAATGGGATAACTTGCCTTGAGGCAGAAACCAGTCTAGCAGATGGAAAACTTTGAATTCAAAACCATCAGCCTATCTTAACCTAAACACACCCCTTCTGCTATAGCTGCACTAAATCTGGCGCTGTTACGGCTCTAGTGGGTCACTTGATACACACATACACTAATAAATAGGAAAAAAGACATTTCAATGTAACTAACCGAGAAGAATTGGTAGAATACAGTCATCTAAAAGAGAATATGCAATGTTATCAGTCCTGACATGGCATCTCGGCCTCAATCCGTTTGCCACCGCCGTAACGTAGATCCCCTGTACCTTTTCTATAAATGTTTTTTTTATGGTAATTGTTCTGATGAGCTTTCTCTTTGCTTCATGAATTTAAACCTTATCA